TCAAATCTAAGAAAATGCAATCAATTTGTAATTGTTTTTAAGGAGAATTTTTGCAGCAATATTTAGGGAAAAGAGCCTGATACAAAGATAAACAGCAAATAAACGAACCTCTTACATGCCAAAGTGGACCTAAAATCGCAATCCATTTTAGGGTTACAAAAAATAAAAGATTATAATATGCCTATGAAGGTTACAGCAGACCTTAAAGTGACATTAAACCCTCAGATTTTTTAACATAAAACAATACTGTAATGTGTGCCTTACTGTAATCCATGGTTGTTTCCCTTCTCTTTGCTGCTCTTCCTTTTAAATCTGTATCTGTTCTCATGCTCTGCAGAACTTCTGTTTTGCAGCAGACGGCCTTGTCTCAGGAATGGATACATGGTGTCTGTGTATAGATTTGTATAGGTTTGTAACCTGAGCCAGCACTACAGGAAGAGGCCCTGAACTGCAAAGGGAAGTTCTCCCCAAGGATGAGAAGACATGAGGATTTAAAAGGAAGAGCAGCAAAGAGAAGGGAAACAACCATGGATTACAGTAAGGCGCACATTACAGTATTGGTTTATGTTAAAAAATCTGAGGGTTTAATGTCACTTTAACTTATAGCAACAAGGAAGGTAAAATGTAAATGTATTTTTTGGAAAATGTTGCTTATTTTTATTGGGGTTAAAAAAAGGAAGGTTTGTTATAGAGGTATATTACTGTATAAAGTATATATTCAGCATTTAATATTTTTTTAATGTAAAAGAATATATTGTTAAAAACTTGTAATTTATTTTATTTTTGCAAATTTTAATGTAGAATTAACATTCTAATTATATTATTTCTGTTGTCTTTGTATGCATATTTCCACCAACAACTTCACAAAGTAGAATTATATTTGATGAGGTAGTGGGCCCTAAAAACAAACCTGGACTGAGAGAAATATCCAGCCTTGCATTGCTGACCTTGCCTCCTCAAAATGCCAGTACCCTGGCTGTGTGTTACTGAGTTGGAACAAGCAAGCAGATGAGGAGTTATGACTTGCTGCATGCTTGACCTGACTGAGAAAATACAGCAAGCAAAGACAGACAGGCAACTAGCATTTTAAGAAGGAGTTGAGGAATGCCAACCCCCATATTTCTTTCAGGTCTGGTTCTCTGTGAAGCCCAACTCCAGTGTTTCTTATGAAAGAGTGTTCAAGGATTAGGACCTCTGTTATATTTTGATTGATGTGTGTATGTGTCCAGTGGGAACACTGTTCTCACTTTTAAATGATTGTAAGGTATTCTGGTTTCCTCACCCGTTGGGGCCCGTTCTTCCTTGGTACACAAAGTTCAAATACAAAAGCCGAACCTCCAAATGCTTCAACAAGCCAAAGCACTTAGCTCTCCACCTGACTCTGGTCCATCTCCTCCAACGTGTTTCACCCCAATGGGGGCTTGGTCATTATGTTCAGACAGAACATACATGAGGAAAAGTCTCCCTGTGTATTTGATGGGTGTCAGACCGAACAGGAAGTAAGGGAAAGTCACCTAACTAGAACACAGAGAACAATATGCATTGTCTAGTGATGACGTTTTAGATCCTTTCAGGATTTTAATGCTGAATGTGTCCCCATAAGAAGTATAAAGACGTAATCGCCCGCACACCAAGGTCCCAAGCATCAATCCTTTTATTGACATCAGATACACATGGCATTACAAGGATAAAGCTTTATGCTGATGATGCCATGTGTATCTGACGTCAATAAAATGACAAATTGTTGCATGGGATCTTGGTGTGCGGGCGAATACTTCTTTATACTTGGATCTGTGCGGCGACATCTGCTTCTCACCCAGCACCCTTTCAGTATATTACTAAGGGATTTTGGTCTAGAGTGCAATGGGACAAATGTAAACCCATGAGAAGTATTTCCCCTTACTTCCTGTCTAGGTGAGAAATGTCAAACAGAAATGGAAAAGAGGAGAAATATCCCTTCCCCGCTCTATCCAAAACTAAAGAAACAAAAACTTCAACACCTTCACAACCAGAAAGTGGAGTTATCAAAGGACCTACAATGTGTTAAAAGTCCATGTATTTTTTAGGGCTGCGGAAATGAACGATTAATTTATCGATTAATCGTTAATCTTTTTGATCGATTAAAAATGTTTGGATCGCTAATGAAAATACTCACCTCTCCGCCGGCTTACGGGAGTCCCGTCGGAGATCCGGTGACGTAACGGACATCGACGTCAGCGGACTCCTCCCCCCTTCCCCAAGTGGCTCCGTCGGCTAACGAAGGGAAGGGGGTAGGAGTCCGATGACGTCGATGTCCGTGACGTCACCGGATCTCCGACGGGACTCCCCGCAGTCCTAATATTTATAGCAGCATCAATTAACTTGCTGTGGTTGTGTCTTTTACACTTGGGCATCCCTTTAGACTTGTGGTATTTTAGGAGGTCAAACAGTCAAAAAGGAAGTCGGTTAACTTTGCAGTAGACGCAGATTAGATTGCGTTAGCTATACTGAAATATTTACACTACTTATAGATTCTACTAGCCTCATAATATAATATCAGGTGTATGTATGGGGATATCCAGGTTACACTTTTGCAATATTCAATTGCAGAGCATTCATTTCAGCTCTTATTTGGGTTCATCTGCTATCCTATCAGAATCAAGCAGCGTGAATTATTTCTGACACTCTAGGCATATCTGGACATCTCAAAGAAATAAGTGAGATCATATTTTCCCTTACAATTATCGGTGATAAACAGATTACTGTTAGTTATCTGTAATACTTTTATATTAATTTGTTTCAAACAAATTTTTTTATATGACTTTCACATTGTTAACCCACTTGCTTTTCTGTTTTGTTGCTGTATTAAATGTAGAGATTTGTAGATTAGCCCCTAAAAGGTGCTCTCAGAGGCTCAGGGTCATTACTTTAACAGTTAAAATTGGCCACATGTGGAGAACATTTTATTTCAATGAGTTGCCGGACTCCTCCCCCCTTCCCTTCGTTAGCCGACGGAGCCACTTGGGCCGGTGAGTTTGCCCAAGAAACTTGTTCTGCACGAGCGCCAGCCAAGGCATTGGCCTATACACATACAGCACAGCAATGAAGTAATAAAATGAACTAGGATCACACTAATCCAGCACGCTATTATTCTGAGTTGCCCCACTCAAGCGGCGGCCATATTGAGTGGGGCACGTGAGATTAATAACGTGCTGGATTAGTGTGATCCTAGTTCATTTTATTACTTCATTGCTGTGCTGTATGTGTATAGGCCAATGTAGTTGGATCTGTATGTGCGTTATAATTAATCGAAATTAGTCGATTAATCGATTTTAAAACATTTTGATTAATCGAACACGAAAATTGTAATCAGTAACAGCCCTAGTGTTTTTTAAGATACTAAAAACTGTAAAAAACACAACTACACTTTTGCTACCAAACCCCAGCCTTTTCCTCCTAACCCCCCACGAACCCAATCTAACCCAGAACTCCCTTACCGGGATGCATACTTCCCTCTCTGTGGTGGCAGTGGCCTTGAATGGAGTCATACACCTACTGTAGGAGTATATCTTCTTTTGTGTCTGTGGGAAGTTACTGCCAGAGGAGAATTCTACACTAAGGATGTAGACACTGTGAAAACCCACCACAGAGAGGTAAGTATGCCCTGTGTCACAGTTCAGCTGCAGACTTGGAGCTGAGCTGTTACTTGTAGTTCTACAAGTATAAACATATCTCTTACCCCTGGTTCTGCAGGCATGCAGGGCTGTGCTGGTGCTTGTAGTCCTCCAGACATGTGCTCTGAACCTGACTCACATTTTCACCTGTCTGGCAGCTTTAGGCGTCGGCCGACCTGTCCTGCTGTATCTTATGCAGCTTCTCGGCCAATCAGTGCAGTCCGCTGGTGGCCAATCCTGTGGACCCTCCCTCCTCCTGTCTCTATTTAAACCCAGGGCAGCGAACGGCACGCTGCCCGAGCAACGCTTCCCTAAGCTAGATGCCGAGCCTCCCTGTTTGTGATTCAACCTGATTGCCTTTAAGTTTTTCCGTTTCCTGACCATTGGCTTGTCCCTGGATATCCTTGTCCCCAGTCTGAACTGAACTTTGACTGGTCCCTGGTGATCCCAGTCTTCTGTTTGTCCCTTTGGCTAATTCCTGAAATCCCAGTCTTCAGATTGTCCCTGGAGGTCCTGGTACTCTATCTGTCCCTTACCTTTGTTTTGTTCCTTGTATGTGTGTCTGCAACCTGCCCAGAACTCTGGCCTTGTTGACCATTCTTGGCTGTTAGGTGAGTTGGGTGGACCTAGCGATTGTGACCTGGGGTCAGCAGGCAGCCAAGCCCATCTCCACCATCAGGAGCTCTGGCGAACATCGGCCTGCCCTTAGATTCCACATCCTGGGGGACCACATGCCACCTACCTAGCATTGCAGCTCCCTGCCCTGTACCTTGTCTTACCAGCCTATCATGTCTTCCACTGCCTCATTCAGTTCCCCTGCTTGTACTCCAGCTCTGGGAGTCGTCAGCCCACACTGCTTGGACCCTTTTCTATAAGCGTCCCTACCAGTGTAGTAGAAAGGGTCCACAGACCTGACTCCAGTTCATACCCGTGAGCCCTATTCCGTGACACCCTGGTGTTCTAGGTTCAATTAATGTAGGGGGTTGGTGGGGAAAGGGGGGCTGTAAGGTTTTTTTTTTTTTTTTTGTAGCCAAAGTAAAGTTGTACATTTAAAGACAAAACAGGCCCAACGTTCTGCATGAAATACTTTGAATAGAAATTCTAATATAATTGGAGCCTATAATAGGCCTATAAACTAAGGAGCTCAGAGCTAGAGTAAAGTAAACCAAGGAGACCAATTGTTTGTGCAATCATATCAACTGAAGATTGTATTCAACTGTTTGCTATGGTCTACCGCATTGCTTTTTAAAAGCTTTTGAGTTGTAAATGTCGAAGAGAATAATTGCTGGAGAATACGTATTGAATTGCTTTCTGAAGGCATTTATCCTGTCCGTTGTTGTCTTCTAGGTCTCTAGAGCCGGTTTACAGCACTGTAAATAAACTAAGTGACAAACCTTTATCTCCGAGACAATATTCCCCTGTAGAATGTGACAACAGCTTCCTTCTTACATCTCCGTATCCTCATTTCCATGGAGGCCTTCTTCCCGAGTGTGAAATTTCCAGGTATGAGTCATCCTTAATTCTATTTTATATACAATAATCCAAAATCAAATGAAAGTGAACCGTTTCTTTGCCTATACAGGCAGTCCCCGAGTTACAAACATCCGACTTACATATGACCCCTACTTACAAACGGAGGCTATTACTTTACAGCAGGGGGTCCCAGGCTGCAGCCAAAGTGTACGGCGCAGCATTTCAGTAGTTGTAATACTACTGCGCTCATGCCGACAAGGAGTGCCCTCCTTTTTGGGTTTGGTTTGTAGTACTGTACGTACATTACAGGAAGTTGGCTCTTTTTAGACATGCAGACGAGGGGTGCCCACCTCTACTTCCGGGTCACTGTGAGGTTTTTACTGCTGTCTGTATTCTCGTTAGAAAGATTTAATCTCGCTTCCTGTCCTTAAGACAACAGGAAGTGAGAGGAAATCTACCCCTAGGTAGGGAAATTCCCTCCTGTAAGAGTGATCATGGGAAAAAGTGTCTCCACTGAAGCCTAATCACCAATCCTTGTTTCCACGACATCCCAACATTTTCAAAATCCAGTTGTCACAGGGACAGAAAATGAGGTGAAATTTTCTGAACAGGGGCACACACAGCAAAACAAATGTTACAGGGGGGTTAACCCTTCCCTATGCTATCCAAAACTAGAAAATATTTGTTTACCTGGGAGTAGCACTTAAAAAATGTACCTGTTCCAACTTACATACAAATTCAACTTAAGAACAAACCTGAAGTCCCTATCTTGTTCATAACCCAGGGACTGCCTGTACTGGGCACAGTAACAGGTGCACTATAGTTAAGGGACACTTAAAATATAATTGTATCCTATTTTATTTCTTTCTGGTAGAATATTTTCACTGGAGATTTCTTTTGCTTAATGCCTTCAATTATTTTCAATGTAAGGTTCCCAAGACATGATTACTCGTGCTGGACCTTAAGGACTGCTTCACACCTCACCATAGCGTTGCACCCTATCAAACAGTGCACCAAGTGTGCAGTACCATGCATTAGGTGCATTACGCTGTGATTCATTTGAATGGCAAAAAGTAGAAATGTCACCAGCACACCAGAATCCTTTTAGGATAGCAGAATGTTCATTTATTTGAAGCTCCTTGTCATATAAACTAACACTTTCGGGGCCGCACAAGGTCCCTTCATCGGGCTTAGCATTGACCTACTTGATGTCAGGCCTAGCATTTGAAGGGCACCCCCCGTGCATTTACCAGAGGCTGTGCACAGAAGCAATATGGAATGGCAACTCTATGGTGTGAACCGGCCCTAAGTTGTTAGAATCTTATCCCTTCCATCAATTAGTATATAATAGAACATTCAGTGCACATGAATCAAAAAATCCAGCAGGGGCAGTGAGGCTCTTTTATATTAGTCTTCATATTGACTACAACAGGTAGGAAGAATTTGAAAGTCAAATGCACAAACGTTGGCACTGCATTCCCTTTGAGATGGAAGAAGTCCCCAGTTAGGGTCTTTAGTAAAAAACAAAAATATATTTTGAGTGGACTGAACTTTTAAGCAATACTTCCATCCAGCACATATATAATAAAATAGATTTTGAGTTATTAATACTATGGAGCAGCTCGAGTGGCCTGCACAGAGCCCTGACCTGTCAAACGGACCCTTACATATGTAGCACAAGAAGGTTCCTGCCAATAACTTTCTATGCCATTAATTCATAATCTGTGCACCAGGAAAGCCCACCCGCTCCCAAACACAGATAAACAATTATGGGTATTTCACCCCATTCCAGCACCCTGTTATATCATGACTCAATGCCACACCGATCTCTCTATTGGCTTTTACAGTCTGGCATTGTGGGTTTAATTTGGAACAAAGACCAATCACTAGTGGTGTAGCACAAGGCTCTGCGATTGTAAGTGATGTAACGGAAGCTTTGCTGGGCAAGTTATGTACTTTTGGAGATGACTCAATGCTGTGCAACATGGTTGATATGTTTGAAGGTGTTTGTAACATGGAACATGATTTGGAATTGCTGGAAGATTGGTCAAAGTAGTGGAAACTGCATTTCAATGTTTCTAAACAAAAAAGAATGCAGCTAGGGAAAAGGAATCCTCTGACAGACTACACTTTTGGGAGGTACAGTGTTGGCTAGGACTACAAAGGGAAACATATTTGGGGGTGTTTCTTTCAGATGATTGCACAATAAACAAACAGTCTGGCCTGGCAGTGGGTAACGTGAATAGAATTATGGGTTGCATCACTAGGAGGAAGCAGGAGGAAGGAGGTCCTGATTCCTCTATATAGATCTTTACATATCACTAGAGGGATCCCCAGCAGGAGGAAGGAGGTCCTGATTCCTCTATATAGATCTTTACATATCACTAGAGGGATCCCCAGCAGGAGGAAGGAGGTCCTGATTCCTCTATATAGATCTTTACATATCACTAGAGGGATCCCCAGCAGGAGGAAGGAGGTCCTGATTCCTCTATATAGATCTTTACATATCACTAGAGGGATCCCCAGCAGGAGGAAGGAGGTCCTGATTCCTCTATATAGATCTTTACATATCACTAGAGGGATCCCCAGCAGGAGGAAGGAGGTCCTGATTCCTCTATATAGATCTTTACATATCACTAGAGGGATCCCCAGCAGGAGGAAGGAGGTCCTGATTCCTCTATATAGATCTTTACATATCACTAGAGGGATCCCCAGCAGGAGGAAGGAGGTCCTGATTCCTCTATATAGATCTTTACATATCACTAGAGGGATCCCCAGCAGGAGGAAGGAGGTCCTGATTCCTCTATATAGATCTTTACATATCACTAGAGGGATCCCCAGCAGGAGGAAGGAGGTCCTGATTCCTCTATATAGATATTTATTATCACTAGAGGTGTCCCCAGCAGGAGGGAGGAGGTCCTGATTCCTCTATAAAGATCTTTAGTTATCACTAGAGGGATCCCCAGCAGGAGGAAGGGGGTCCTGATTCCTCTATAAAGATATTTAGTTATCACTAGAGGGATCCCCAGCAGGAGGAAGGAGGTCCTGATTCCTCTATATAGATCTTTAGTTATCACTAGAGGGATCCCCAGCAGGAGGAAGGAGGTCCTGATTCCTCTATATAGATTTTTAGTTATCACTAGAGGGATCCCCAGCAGGAGGAAGGAGGTCCTGATTCCTCTATATAGATATTTATTATCACTAGAGGTGTCCCCAGCAGGAGGGAGGAGGTCCTGATTCCTCTATAAAGATCTTTAGTTATCACTAGAGGGATCCCCAGCAGGAGGAAGGGGGTCCTGATTCCTCTATAAAGATATTTAGTTATCACTAGAGGGATCCCCAGCAGGAGGAAGGAGGTCCTGATTCAACTATATAGATCTTTATTATCACTAGAGGGTTCCCCAGCCGGAGGAAGGAGGTCCTGATTCCTCTATAAAGATCTTTAGTTATCATCAGAGGGATCCCCAGCAGGAGGAAGGGGGTCCTGATTCCTCTATAAAGATCTTTAGTTATCACTAGAGGGATCCCCAGCAGGAGGAAGGAGGTCCTGATACCTCTATATAGATCTTTAGTTATCACTAGAGGGATCCCCAGCAGGAGGAAGGAGGTCCTGATTCAACTATATAGATCTTTATTATCACTAGAGGGTTCCCCAGCCGGAGGAAGGAGGGCCTGAGTTCCCGGAAGAAACCCACGCAAGCACAAGGAAAACATGCAAACTCCTTGAAGTTACAGCTGTGGGTTACTGATTTTTGTTATTGTATAATAGTGTAGGCCGACATCAAATATGGTATCACTAGAACCATTCAACTAAAATCCAGTGTTAAGGTATAATAAGTCCGCTTTACAAAATAAAATATGTTCCACAAAGATCTGAGCCCTGGGACGCCAGTTCTACATAATTATTGACTTTAAGATTCTCAGATAAACCAGTTTTAAAGCTAGAATTGTTTATTAGAAAAAAAACAGTCCAGAAAAAACAAAATTTGTTAGAAAAAAATGCAATATTGATAGGTATTCACTTGTTTTTGCATTTTCTGTGTAGAAGTGTTTGGGTAGAGGAAAATTGAGTTACTTTTCAGGTTTACAGCCTGTAACATTATCAAATGCCCCTCGAAGGAGCTAAAATGCATTTATGACGCATTTTACACACAGCAAACACCGCAGTGAGTAAACACAGCATTGCACAAAATGTTCTACATCTCATTTATATTACAAATACTCTGGCTCCCTCTAGTGTCCAAATATCAAAATACACTTCAAGTTAAATACGCAGAATACTTCTGTCTGAAACAATGATGCATTCATTGTTCATTTATTCCAAAGCTTACAAAGAACAATAGTTAGTGTCAGGGTTTTTTTTTTTCATCCCTCTCTTTATCTTTTCTTCCTATTTCCAGCCTCTTTCTTGTCTTTTTGTTTCCCTCTCTCTCGATATCTCTTTACTAAGCACTCCAAACTTTCATTGTAAATTATCTGCAACAAAAGCCAACACACCCCCACAAAAGGGGCGAATAACATCAACTTCTGAATTATTTTCATTTATTTAAAGAAGAAGTATAATAATGTCTTTTTATTTAGAAATAAATATTGAATGAGGTCTCTTTTTTTTAACCAGGTTATTGCACTGCCACCTAGTGGCCACACAGGGTTTATCACTATCTGTCTCTACCCATTCCCGGAGGCTTGTCACTCCGCCCTTGAATTAAATTGAAAGTCAGGGTGCAGTAGTTTTGTCTGCTAGATGATCAATGGCAAACCCTAAACATAACCCAAAGTGCCAGTAAAGTTTTTACATGTGAGTTTTAACAACCCTTAACCCTAACCCTTATCTTAACTCCCTAACCCTTGACCCTTATCATAACTTCCTAAACCCCTAACCTTCTAACCCTTACCCTAACCCCTACACCTAGCCCTCTACCCCTAACCTTCTAACCCTTACCCTGGCCCTAACCCCTACACCTAGCCCTCTACCCCTAACTCCTAACCCTTAACCTTAGCTCCCTCTAGTGTCCAAATAACTCAAACCCTCTAACCCTCTAACTGTAACCCTCGAACCCTTGCCATAACTCCTAACCCTCTAGCACTAACCCCTAACCCTTAATCCTAACCCTCTAACGCCTAAACCTAACCCTCTAACTGTAACCCTTGAACTCTAACCCTAGCCATAACTCTTATCCCTAACTACTAACCCTTAACCCTAACCCTCTAACGTCTAGCCCTAACCCTTAACCCTCTATCCCTAACTCCTAACCATCTAACACTAACCCTTAACCCTCACCCCTATACCTTAATCCGTAACCCTAACCCTGGAGAAATGGCCTTTGAACAACCACTGTATAATTACTGCCGAGTGTGAACAGAAAGAAATCCTGCAGCACCCCAACCCAGTAATGGGGACACTGTTGTGATCAATATTGTATTCTAATAACTGTATATGGGTGATACATGTAATGATAGCATTTCATATAAAAGTTACTGAATTAATGATCGCGCCTTTATATATATTTTTTCTTCAGACACAACGGTCCATCAGAATAAAAGTGACAAGGGTTGGGACAAATTATAACACTGAACAGGGTCTGCAACAGTATTTTGTTTTCATTTAAATCACATGAATAAGGCTACATTCACACTATGTGATTTGGGATTCCTGTGGCAGGAACCATTTAGATGCGGCCACTGTCACCCATTTAAGTTAATGGCTGGGTGACAGAAGCTGCATTTGTAAACATCCATGGACAATCCCTAAGACCCACAGCAATACTTCCGTTGGCATTGAAAGACAAATTCCACTCTATCTAAATGCATTGTTCCCTTAGTGGCCGGAACACTGCAGGGCCTTGATTACTGGTGATGTAGCGGTGACAGAGTGACATTTACTGGTCCAGCCCTTAAGGTAGGAACACCATAGCACAAGATTAGGGGACTCTTAGCAATGTTCTTGCCTGTGAGACGTCACTGGGGACCTGATTGGCAAAATAAAATGGGCCTAAAAAATTATTGTTTCTCGCACAGGGCGCCTAAAGGCCTAAGGCCGGCCCTGGTTGTAAGTAGAGTCCATCATCCACAAGGCAACCTAGGCAGCATCTGTAAAGAATAAATAAAAGCAACTGGACCCGCTGTATTTTTCTTGAAGACATTTTGCTGGTCATCCGATCACCTTTCTTAATTCAGAATTGAGAAAGCTAGTCGATGATCAGCAAAACATCTTCAAGAAAAATACAGTAAGTCCAGTTCTCTCGATTTACTATTTACAGATATACCATGACCTGGATGAATGAGAACTAGGGATGTCCCAATACCATTTTTTCAAGACTAAGTACTTTCCCTCATGTACTTGTCGATACCAATTACCGATACTTTTCTTAAAGGGACATGTGACATTTTTTCTAAAACAATACAGACTAATGATTTTAGGGCAGTTTCTTTGTAATTATAAAGAACTGTAACTCAATCCATGATTATTCAGCAATGGAGAATGGCAACCGGCTATAGAGGACTAAAAATCTCAGCAATCCATGATTATACAGCAATAGAGACTGGCAACCAGCATTAGAGGACTACAGATCCCATCAATCCATGATTATACAGCAGTTATACAGGGCTGTGTGTGGTCTCACTAGGGCTGCATTTGGGTCTCAGCCTGCGCTGGACAGGCTGTACGCGCGTGCACGGAGGCTCGCACGTGGTGCGCCCACAGCCGTTATTCTTGTCAGGTGTGGGCCTTGCTAGGGGAGGTTCCCAGTACACACCTTCCATCATTTCTCTCCTCCTATTGGCTCCTAGACAGGGAAGCCTCCTGGTTGTCTCGGCAACCAGGGGGCGGTCCTAGTTCCCACTGGGTATAAATTCCAGTCAGAGCCTTGGCTGAGTTGCTGAGTTATTCTACCTTTATGGTGCAATTACCTAGCCTTTTGTGTTGGATACTGCTGCCGTTCCCTGACCCCTCATCGGAATTCCTGGTTACTGACCCCTTGACCTGTGCCTTCCTGCTCTTGAACCTAGCCGCCTGCCTTGACCCAGACTGAACCTTGACTACGCCTTTTAGATTTGCTCTCTTCTACCTTGTTGCGGATCTCCTTTGGCCCGATTCCTGCCAGTGAGTTCCACTCCACGTTTCGGGCCAGCGATACCCTGTGACAGATCCTCCTGCTTCGGCTTCACTCATTCTGTGGATCTGTTTTTCCTCCACCTCTCCTGCTGCTCCATGATCATTCCCCAACTAGTCATTGGGGTAGGGGCGAGTCTGGTATAAAGCAAAGCTCTGCCTTTACCAAGATGGCCACCTCAACAGTCATTAATAAGTCACCCTGAGAAAAAAAAAAGACCAGTAGCATGGAGGCTGCAGGTAATATTAATAAATTATCATGTGTGCTCCACTGGCTTTTTTTGGACACAGATTGGGCCCTCTTTACCTTCTTTTTAGACTGGACCTAGATCATGTGTGCTTGTATGACCGTAATATTGATATACAAGTACAACCAGTCTAGTCATCATGGTAACGGGGTCAAAGGAATCAAAACGTTCTTTACTAAGGTGCTGTAAAGCTCATCATCAGCATTTTAAAGCAGAGGTGACTACTTTTATAGGAAGAGTCCAGCTTCGCATATAACTTTCACTCCCTCTGTTTATGAATCTACTGATCAACGTGTCATGCTGTTTTCACCACAAAATAAGGCTTAAGCAATGTTCAATTTGAATGTGATGGGTTTCTTTTACAGGCCTTATGGTGAGGGTGACCATGCATTTAGAGCACACTATCACACAATACATGGTATCGCACGATTTGTGCACTGGCATGTGCGTTGTCATGCATTCTGAATGGCCCCTCACTCATAGTCGCTGTGCATTGCAGTGCTGTGAAATGTCCAATACTGCAATAGCATGTGTTGTGTTGCTGTGTGACGAAAAGTAGTGCATGCATTGCATTATTACTGCTTGGCAATGCAATGCACGTCACGGGGGACCATGCTTTTGTGGCACGATGCTGCAAGGCACGGCCACCAAGAGTTGTGTTGGGGTGCCATTCAGAATGAATGGCAATGCAACACACCAGTGCACCTAGTGTGTGGTACCCTGCACTCTGGGATAGCATGCGTTAAACATACAGATCCCACGCATTTAGTGCAACAATATGGTGCGAATAAGCCCTCCGGGTGTCTTGATTTTGTACTTGTGGTAGAACTAATGACATTCAATGATCTTCAGTTTGCAGAGGGCAGTGCTGTATTTTACATTTACAAGATATTTGATTGTAGACTCCGTCTTGATATAGGCCCAATGTCAGTAGGTCAGTATACACGGTGTCATTTTTAGTACTATTTACATGTGTGGAAACGAATGTTAAGTACATTAGGCAAAAACATTAAGAAAAAATAAAATGTGTGTGTGTTTTTTTTCTTTCCAGGGAACCTCGTAAAGTCATATTGCACAAAGGCTCTACGGGGCTGGGCTTTAATATTGTCGGAGGAGAAGATGGGGAAGGAATCTTCATCTCCTTCATTCTAGCGGGAGGACCAGCAGACCTCAGCGGGGAGCTTCAGAGAGGAGACCAGATAATATCAGTAGGTATCTGAGCAGGAAAGAAACAGGCTTTGGCTTAGCTTTAGTTTAAAGTGACATTAAACCCTCAGATTTTTACCAATAGTGTAATGTGCGCCTTACTGTAATCCATGGTAGTTTCCCTTCTCTTTGCTGCTCTTGCTTTTAAATCCTCATGTCTTCTCATGCTGGGGGAGAACTTCCCTTTGCAGCTGAGGGCCTCTTCCTGTAGTGCTGGCTCGGGTTGCAAACCTATACACAGACACCATGTATCCATTTTAGAGACAAGGCAGTCTGCTGCAAAACAGAAGTTCTGCCCAGCATGAGAAGAGATACGGATTTAAAAGGAAGAGCAGCAAAGAGAAAGGAAACTACCATGGATTACAGTAAGGCGCACATTACAGTATTGTTTTATGTTAAAAAATCTGAGGGTTTAATGTCACTTTAAGTTCTTTTTTTAAAGTGACACTAAACTCAGGACAAAAAACATAAAAATACATCCGAGTTCCTCAACTATGAACAACAATGTATCTTATTTGTGTATCACTCGGCTGTAGATCTTCCAATCATCTCTGAATTGGTGCTGACACTGTCCTTCCTTCTGGAGGGGGGCTACTTTTGTTCCCCATGGTCCCTGTGTGTGTTGTAAAGTAGTCACCGCTCCAAGCTCACTCCTGTGATAGACTACAATCTCATGTTTAGTTTACTAATTTGTGTTGAGATTGTAGTCCATCACAGGAGTGAGCTTGGAGCGGTGACTACTTTACAACACACACAGGGACCATGGGGAACAAATGTAACCCCCCTCCAGAAGGAAGGACATTGTCAGTACCAATTCAGAGATGATTGGAGGATCTACAGCCGAGTGATACACAAATAAGATACATTGTTGTTCATAGTTAATGACCAAGTTCACCTTTTGCTAAAATTAAGGAAAATCATATTTGTTAACATAATAAGTTGGTAATCGTTAAGGTACTTGAATGTATTTTAAAGATTTAACTCCTGAGTTTAGTGTCACTTTAAGGATTACATGGTGTTAAAACTGTTTGGTATCATTTTTATATTAAAGAAGATCATATAAGCCTTTTGTACTAAATACTGAGCACATGTCTGAAAAATATAATGGATTTAGTGGTTCTTGCTTATGTAAAGGTGACCTTTTTGTTTTATTCTAGCTTTGGATACAGTAGAAAATTTGTCATTTTTTCCCCCGGCTGATTGTATCCAGGGGGTGTGGAGAGATTCGCCCTTTCTACTGAAATCCCCTAATTTGTAATGGTCTTTAGAGCAAGAAGTTAGAGAAAATCCTTATCAATGGGGGCTGTTGCCTCATGCAACATCTCTTTCAGTCACATGGGGGAAGGGGGGGAAGCAGAACGGCATGGCTGCTCTGCTACACAATGTTTGCAGTATGCCTGCCACCCCATTTCCAGCCAGAACGTCCCAATGTAGATGTGTAAGGGCCATACATATCTCCCCACCCAGCTCCTGGCAACCAGTGATGTCAAGAGCTGGGCGGGATGGTGGCCAGAGATCTACAGTTGAGATGATGCAGAGGCCACACTGCCCCTACCCCCAAAGCGTGCACCACCAGCAAAACCCCTCCACCTCCCCCATGGAACGTGCAACACCCCTCCACCTCCCCCATGGAACATGCAACACCCCTTCACCTCCCCCATGGAACATGCAACACCAGCAGAACCCCACCTTCCCCACCTCCTCAAGTGATGAAAAGGCTAGGGACACCTCGGGGCCCTATGATAGGACAGAAATTCTGTTCACTTTAGAGAAATTTCTACTCATTTCCTGTTGCGTCTCTAGGACAGGAAGCAAATAGAAAATCATCCTAACAGGACATAATGGGGGGTTTTACTCTATTTACTGCACTTTTCTTGATGAAGAGAGCAGAGAAAAGATCCAACATGTGTGCCACATAGGTAATAGAGACCATTTACAGTCAATGATCTTGACTTGGTCAATGTAGATTGCCGTTGTTTTCCTCCGTTGTTTTTGAAGCGCATGTCACACACGGGTCAGCAGATTCCTATTGACTTTAATGTAGATGTGTAGATGATAGTTCTCAAGCTGGGTTTGACCTGGCTTGCTTTGCGTTTCATTTCATTTTATGCAGCAGGTCCTATTGAGATGTGTTTGAATTGCAGGCAACTTGGGTCAAAGGTAGCCTTTGCTGCATGCATTTTGCATTTGTACCAGTGACATTTAGGCAGAGCTGCCTTCCAATAAAAAAGCCAGCAATGAGAGGAATGTCCATGTAAACAAGCTCAAACAGACATTGGCTATGGCAAAAGTGGACTTAACGCCTCCCTGTCAATTGCCAAAAGTTACAGCCGCAATTCAATTGAACGTTTTTAGCGCCCTTTCTCGGAGGCTGGCCTGCCCTCTTCAGCTTTCTATAGCTTCTTATTGGTTCTTCATTATGATAGGTGGTCTCAAGCTCCAATCTGCAAGTCGCAGGAAGTGGTAGGGGACCAGTAGTAGGTGCATTACTTTGCAGGTGCTACTTTAAAAGGTTTACAGGATAATTTTATACTGGACTACACTGGAATTGTTTAGAAGCATAGGTTGTAATACCTAATATATTCCTCAGGCAGACTTCGGCACTCTCCTCTTTTCTCCAACGTTCCAGATTGTGGGCAGGCCATCACCGTTGCATTGTACTTGATTACATCAATATGCGAGCACTGTCTGTAGCGTCTAATGCTGGGCACACACCTTACAACCATCGCAAGACTTTTGTCTTGCGATGGTTGTAAGGTAATTAAAAAAACGTACGATCTGCCCATCTTGGACAGGCAGATCGTACTTCCGATGACCGCAATGCCGAACGGGCAGTGAGCGTTTGCTCACGCCGGCCCGTCCGGCTTTTATCTTACGAACATGCTACACACTCGCCGAACACCGTACGATGCTCGGCGGGTTTTCGAACATTTTCGTAAGTTAAAAGTCGTGCGACCTTACAGTAGTAGAGGTCGCACGGCTTCCACACACCTTACGATAATTGTGCGATCGCGGGATTTCCCGCGATTATCGTAAGGTGTGTGGGCACCCTTAGAGAAGAGGCTTTCGGGACTGGTCGCACTTGCTAAAAAAATTGCCATGTGTTTGAGAACTATAAAACATTGTGTATATTAACTGTTTCCTTACAGCATCAGCTCAGATTCAGGGCTAGTTCACACCAAGTTCTTGCAACAGGCAGAACCAATGGTAGCTGCCATTGGCTCTTGAAGAAACCAATGGTAGCTGCCATTTGTAGTAATAAGAAGGTCAACAAGAGGAATCAATGGTAGCTGCCATTGGAACCCAATAGTAGTTGCCACTGGTAGTGATGAGGAGGTCAACAGGAGGAACCAAAGGTAGCTGCCATTGGTAGTAATAAGGAGGTCAACAGGAGGAACGAATAGTAGTTGCCACAGGTAGTCGTGAGAAGGTCAACAGGAGGAACCAGTGATTTCTGCTATTGGTTCTTGGGGAACCCATTGGTAGCTGTCATTGGAACCCAATAGTAGTTGTCACTGGTAGTGATGAGGAGGTCAACAGGAGGAACCAAAGGTAGCTGCCATTGGTAGTAATAAGGAGGTCAACAGGAGGAACGAATAGTAGTTGCCACAGGTAGTCGTGAGAAGGTCAACAGGAGGAACCAGTGATTTCTGCTATTGGTTCTTGGGGAACCCAATGGTAGCTGTCATTGATAATGATGGGAATGTCAACAAGAGGATCCAATGGTAGCTGCCATTGGTAGTGATGAGAAGGTCAATAAGGGGATCCAATGGTAGCTGCCATTGGTAGTAATGAGAAGATCAATAGGAGGAAGCAATGGTAGCTGCCATCGCTCCCAAAAGAGTCCATTTCCATAAGGAATTTACATTTTGCATCTACAGAGCAGCATTCAGGCAGCACCGATATTATTTTCTTATTACCAGCATTTATATAATGCAAACAATTTACACTGCTCTTTACATACACATATGTTTCTGCCCTCAATGAGCTTATATTTGCAGTCCTCTGTTTATGGGTATTCCATTTTATTTGTTAAAGGCCTTTATGTAGCACCATTTATTTATATTGCACTGACAATTCACACAGCACTTTCCATTCTATTCATTCACATCAGTTCCTGCCCTCAAAAAGCCTTGAATCTAAGGTCCTTATCTCACAAGCTACAGCCATTTAACCTTCCATGAAATCTTTGGACATGCAAACCTATACAAGCACAGGGAGAACATGCAAACTCCTTGCGGATAGCATTGTTGCTTTAATGATGGAGTCACTTTAAGGATTTCCCATTGCGGAGATGAGATCTTGTACAGTACTGCCCATCTGCAGGTGGCAGATCGGACGTCCTTCCTGCCATGACAGATGACTGCAGTGTACTGTGCTATCCACACAGCAGGATCACATTTTGCCTAGCAGATGTCTGCTCAGCCAAGCACAGCCAGAGTTGGAAGGGTGTATTACTGTGCTGATTGCCCATTACTACTTACAATTACACAGGACTACCATTATGAGATGAGTGAGCAGACATAATTAAAGTGACACCAGCTTTTCTTCTGAAATGTAATGATTTAGTACAAGCATTGTTAGCATGTAAATATCTATATTTTACATAGTAATACGTATTTTATTTATTTGTGGAAGCATCCATCATAGTCCTAGGACAGAGAGGGATACGGTTGGATGAGTAAAGAGATCGGCTCACTCCGCATTGCAAGGGTTAAATGCTTGTTTCTGTCTAGGGCAGGGATGGCCAAACTGCGGTTCTCCAGCTGTGGTGGAACTACGAATCCCATGAGTCTTTGCAAGATTCTCACAGCCACAGACATGACTCCCGGAGAGAGATGCTTCATGGGATTTGTAGTTTCACCACAGCTGGAGGGCCGGTGTTTGGCCATCCCTGGTCTAGGGGAACATTAAAAATAAATCCCTTGCTCCACCACCAGCAGGCGCTCTCTTCCTCTGAGGCTTGGGGTTGTGGACGGGCCACTGGCATACTCGCTTACAATGCAGGAGTGCTGGTCCTACAATAAATGTGATGAAATCAGAGTGTGACTGATGGAGCTGCCAAGAGAAGCTGCTTCAGGGCACCGGTTGTGCAGATTGAAGGAAGCTTGGAGGGAGCGAGGGATTAGGTGGGTATAACGTCTTGGGCCCCTCTAAGCAGACTCCTCGGAGACTTTACAGCCCCCCAATCACTTCCACAGGCTCTTATATGTGTGGCCCACCCCTGCTCTACACCCCCACCATGTTTCCTGGGCCTGCTGCCCCTCCTGTGGGCCCAGGACCGGCATCCCGGGTGTTGGTGACTAGAGGGAACACAGACCAGTGAACATCCATTCACTGGTCTTCTCCCTGCTGAATGAACCCAGATGCGATGTTTAGTTTGTCACTTCCAGTTTTGTAGCTCTCTCTGGCCGGGGAAAAAGCTGATCCAGCGGCATCACAATGGGGGTGCGGCTCACACCCGGGTGGCACCAACGGAGGGGGTGACGCCAAAATGACTGACAGTCGTTTTGGTGGCACCCCCTCTGAAAAGTCAGGCACTTGAGAGAGAAGCCAGCAGTTTCTCAAGAGAGAGAGGAGGGGACCCGGCGGCATACCTTATCCCACCGGGTGAATGCCCCCTCCTCTCTCTGAAAAGATGGCCACCGGCAGGTACCAACGAAACAGCACGTGACACCACGGCGGGTGTCACTCGGTGTCCGAACGGGTGTCACCCTGCCTGGGGACGCCTCTGGCTGATCAAGTACTATCTATGCTTGATCAACTTCAATGGGCTGCAAAGGTGACATAAGGGGTCTAATAGAACCCTAATGTCTCCTGAAAGAGAACCTGCCACCACTAAAAGTGCTCAACACAGCAAAAAATGTCTGAATTGGCCCTAAGGGACTTGTGCTGGTATCTCCAATAGGGATTGTTCAATTAAAAAGGAAACAAAAGATGGAGAGCCAGCTCCAGTGGACTGGCTGCCATTGGCCGTGCCAGATCTCCCCTCCCCAAATCTACCTCAGCCATGACTCATAGAAGACGATCAGCCGTTCACATGTTCCGTAGATGTCATAGCAGTAACGTAGCCATTCCTCCTACTCCGACATATGGAGGACGCCCCCGCAATCTCAGCTCGGTTGGCAGGGAGATGACTGTGGAGATTGGGTAGTGATTATCCGCTCATAATAACAAACGGCTGCCAGGATGGTCATTATGTGTTTCCGCCTTGTCAGAAAAATTCTGGAGCCGAGCGCGGCAATCATCGGCGGAGTCACCAGCCTTCAACGAGCCCGCTGAGGTCATAGTGTCTATCTGATCATTCACACGGGGCGATGACATACACTTGTCTGGTAGAATAATGTCCATGAGCGGCGTGAATAACTGTACAAAAGGGCTGTGATGAGAAAATGGTTATTTACGGGGAAATGACAACCCTAGTCATGAAAGTCTATGACTTAAAGGGTATGTACACCCCGGCAATGAACTTCTCTTATCTGCTCCCTATCAGTCTCATTATCAGTGATTGATGGCCCTAGACTTATTGCTCTCACTGCGATATGTAACATGTGCGGCGTAATGGGTGCAATAGTCATTTTCGCACGTATGCGCACCCGACGCATATTTGCACGCGTGTATGTATGGGCGGGGACTTTTTTAAAAAAATTGTGTTTTTTTAAAATTCTTTGTCATGTGTGACTTAAATTTTTTTTTCCCCACTTAACTTTACTGTTATCACATAGGGGGCTAAGAATCCCCCTATGTGATAGCAAGGAGATGTGACAGGTCCTCTTTATGGAGACATCAGGGGTCTCCAAGACCCCTAATGTCACCTAGGGACCCCCAGAGAAGCTGATGAAGCACAGATCTGCTTCATCAGCTTCTCTCCAGCGTCTGAAGCTGGAGAGCGACACAAGAATGCAAAAGTGATGTAATATATATCACTTCCGCATTCTGACAGCGAAGAGGGGATCGGAGGGAGATTGTGTACCGAACTCCCTCTAATCCCCTGTCACAGAGCCACCATGCTGGTCCCAGGCTCACACCGGGCACAGCGGAGCTCGGGACCAGCGGGAGTGGGGTGGCGGGGGGGGGGGGGGGGGCACATACCGGCATGTTATACAAGCCATCTGCCGGCTCTATAGTCGGTGGATCGCTTGTATATAAACAGGCATCGCTGCCTGTTTTTAAATCCAGGCAGTTTCTCGTGGGCGGGGCTAACAGGCCGTCTTTTGACGGCCTGTCACATCCAGGAAGCTCCCAGCCAGGCGGTTAAATACACCATGGAAAGTGTTTTGTTATATCGGTTTCATAAGCACAAAAAAAGACCAAATAATCCTTCCACAAATCTTGTGAATCATCCTGTGCTCTCTGCCTCCTGTGCTCTCTGCCTCCTGTGCTCTCTGACTCTTATCTCTGACAGAAACACTTTTGTTACGAGCATTAGCAGGGGGCGGAGTCCTGTACTCTCTTCCTGTTTCTGTTGGCCTGATACAGCAGGGTGAGTGAACGTTGTCACCCTACGACAGGAAGCATGTTACTGGCCGGGAGAAAATAAAGGAAAAAGCCAGAAAACGAACGCCACATCTAAGAACTTGTAAGCTGCAATATGGCACATTTTTTGTTTTGGGATTTGATTAAGCAATGCGCTTATAACGTCTGACATAATAAAATGCAGCTGCCAACATTTTATTTTACAAGGTATATACTGTATAATGATTGCAGGCTTCAGACCTAAAATGTGCATCTTAACATGGTTCTGGGAGTGAAACAGTTAAGGGGACACAGGCAGCCATAAAAATGGAGGGGGTTTCTCCTCATTTCCTGTTCAGCCAATACCTGGCATGGGCACAGAAAGGAAGCAGGCAGCAAAAAATACTGGAAGCTTTACAAATGATTACAGAGGCGAGAAAAGGTCTCTTTAATAGACTCCCAGTAAGCCTCTGCTCACTATGCTCTCTCCTCCTATCAGCATTTTCCTTGTCATCACATTTTTATGCAGCATGTTGGCTTCCAGCCGACCCCTCCCTCTCACTGTCTAAGCTCCGCTGTACAGGGCTGGTGTCAAGTCAAATTTAGGTATTCACTCTGTATTTATAAACTGAGTTGATGATGTATTAATGATGACAGAGCTGCATTCGTTTGCCTCTTTGTGTCTTCCTGGAGTTCAGCTTTCAGCATTTTGTTTCTAATCCCCTTGTTCAGGTGAACGGAATTGACCTCCGTGGTGCTTCCCATGAACAAGCTGCAGCTGCCTTAAAGGGTGCAGGTCAGACTGTGACTATGGTAGCACAATACCAGCCGGAAGGTAAGTGACTCATCCTCCTGTATGTTTGACTTGTGTTACAATAGCAGCGGCTTCTGTTGTCACCGGACTAATGTATACAGAAGGAGCAAAGGTACTGAAGGTCACGATTGATTCCTTCACCAGTTTGAACGGTCATTTGAAACGATATGTTGTGGAACTCTCTTGGTGAGATCTCTGTGCTGAGTTCCCAGGTCTGTACACCTGCTGTGCCCATTGTGAGGAGCTCCCCCCATCCCTGTGCTGAGTTCCCGGGTCTGTACACCTGCTGTGCCCATTGTGAGGAGCTCCCACCATCCCTGTGCTGAGTTCCCGGGTCTGTACACCTGCTGTGCCCATTATGAGGAGCTCCCACCATCCCTGTGCTGAGTTCCCGGGTCTGTACACCTGCTGTGCCCATTATGAGGGGCCCCCACCATCCCTGTGCTGAGTTCCTGGGTCTGTACACCTGCTGTGCCCATTATGAGGAGCTCCCCCATCCCTGTGCTGAGTTCCTGGGTCTGTACACCTGCTGTGCCCATTATGAGGGGCCCCCACCATCCCTGTGCTAAGTTCCCGGGTCTGTACACCTGCTGTGCCCATTATGAGGAGCTCCCCCATCCCTGTGCTGAGTTCCTGGGTCTGTACACCGGCTGTGCCCATTATGAAGGGCTCCCACCATCCCTGAGCTGAGTCCGCGGGTCTGTGCACCTGCTGTGCTCATTATGAGGAGCTCCCACCATCACTGGGCTGAGTTCCTGGGCCAGCACACCCACTGTGCCCATTATGAGGTGTTCCTACCATCCCTGCACTGAGTTCCTGGATCTGTATACCTAATGTGCTCCATAAGAGGTGTTCCCACCATCCCTGGGATGAGATCCTGCGTCTGCATACCAGCTTTGCCCATTGTGAGGGGTTCCCATAATCCCTGTGCTGAGTTACTGGGTCTGTACACCTGCTGTGCTCATTATGAAGGGCTCCCATCATCTATGGGATGAGTTCCTGGGTCTGCACACCAGTTGTGCCCATTATGAATGGCTCCAGTGATGGGCTTCTACGTGTTTCGCATTATGAATGGCTCCCACCATCCCTTCTGGATTTTTGAAGGGTCATTTATATTATGGAGAATGTAGCAGGAACACACAGAGGTGGACAGGAACACAGAGACTCCGGTGGTCAGGATTTATGTCGGGGAGGTCTCACTGTTGGAGTATCTAAAACATAGGAGAAGCTAACGACTGACTCAGTCCTCTAGGCTCCACCTGTCAATGAAATCGTTGTTTTTCTTGAACCGACCCTTTTGCAGCAAATGTCACCTTTCCATATTCAACAAAAAAAAACTAAAATCTACAATCTGGCCAACTAGAAAGACGGTGAAGTGTCTCATCATGTTCATAGGGTTGAACTAATCCTGTAATGCTGATATACTCCAGTTCATAAATGGGGTGGAAGCAACAGCAGGCATGAACAATGGTGTACAGTGTTACAATCCTGAAGTGCCAAATGAACAATAAGAACCAACATACAAGCGTTCGTAAACAGGCCGAATGTGTGAAATCGAAACTGGAATGTATATCTGTCGAGCCAACCAGGTTGTGTTGGGGTGATCATAAACCAAGTGATTGTTGCAAGTGATTAAAGGAGAACTATGAGGTGAATGTTTTCCACTCACCTCATAGTTCTAGCCGACCTGTGACAATGAGACTGTCACAGGTCGGCTCAGTAGATCGGGAGGTGAGCGAACACATACCGGCGTTCGCTCACCTCTCGATCCTGTCACGGCTCTCTGCCATGACAGGGGAGGGGCTGGATCCCCCGCTCTGATCCGCCAGCGCTGACTGGCGGAACGGACGAGGGAGGGGGCGGGTACAGCTGGCTCTGCCTCTAGATAGGCAGAGCCAGCTGTCAGTTACGCAGCTGGGCGGATCCCGGCACAATTGTCGGGATCCGCTTCAGCTGCGGCTACAGCTCGCGGTATACTGAGCCTAGGGTGACGGGAGGATGCTAGTTTGTGTCCTCCCGTTACCCTAAGGAGAACTATGGGGAAAAGCCTTAACCCCATAGTTCTCCTTTAACGCAGTTTGAGCACTGATAGGAGTTACTATCAGAAAAGGTGAACAAGTAGATCCAAGTGAATGGACAGTCAGAGAGACCTAGGGTTAAAGGAGATCTATGTGGTCAGTGATTTCCACTCATCCTCATAGTTAGAGCCGACCTGTGACAAAGAGAGCCGACCTGTGGCAGCTTATCGATGAGGAAGTGAGCAGAAACATGCAGCCAATCTGCTCACTTCTCAATCATCTTCCTGCAGTGAGTGGCGACTGTCAGTCACCGCTGCCCACAGGGATCCCCTCCCCTCTCCGATCCCCCAGCGCTGAATGGAGGAGTGGACGGGGAGGAGGCGGGCACAGCTGGCTCTGCCTCTAGATAGGCAGAGCCAGCTGTCACTCATGCAGCTGTGTGGATCTCAACAGTAATGTCAGGATCCGTCCCGGCTGTGGCGCTCTCGGTACATGTCGGGCAATAGCCCGCGATAAAAACTAAAGCTTCGGGTATCCTTTAGGTATTAATCACCCCAAAAATTGCATCAAAAAATACCTTAAGTAAAAGGTAAACTCTGACTTCAAAAATACATAAGGGACAGAGACATAAAAGTGAAAGCTTTGGGTATTTTATGAATTTGAATCAAATATAAATGTAAATAAAGTATTTTTATGTAATATTTTTTTTAAAATTCATATTTATAGACTACCCGAAGCTTTCACTTTTATATCTCTGCCCCTTATGTATGTTTTAAAGTCAGGGTATACCTTTTATGTTGTGGTAATTTACGAGTGATGTTTGCAAATTTTGGTCCCTTATTTTGTAAATTGTGCCCATTCTACTTCAATTATTCCTTTGTTCTATCTCTCTTTATCCTTTATCTGTCTTACACTTGAGCATTAGGGGGCCCAAAAATAGTTTTTTTTTTTTTTTGCAACTTGCAGTTATTGAATGATTGCAAGTATCAAACTGTTAAAGTGACACTAAACTCAGGAGTTCAATCCTAAAAAATACATTCAAGTACCTGAACTATTAACAAAATGTATTATATTTGTGTATCACTCGGCTGTAGATCCTCCAATCATCTCTGAATTGGTGCTGACACCGTCCTTCCTTCTGGAGGGGGGCTACTTTTGTTCCCCATGGTCCCTGTGTGTGTTGTAGAGTAGTCACCACTCTGAGCTCTCTCCCATGAAGGACTACAATCTCATGTTTAGTTTACTAATTTGTATTAAGACTGCACTCCATCACATAGTTACATTGTTACAGAGTTAGTCAGGTTGAAAAAAGACACAAGTCCATCCAGTTCAACCTATAGAGATAAGAGGGGGGGGGAAAAATAACAAACGGGAGTGAGCTTAGAGTGGTGGCTACTTTTACAACACACACAGTTTGAGTATGGGGCTACGTTGCCGCAGACTGGTCAAGGTGCCCATGCTGACCCACGTCCCCCGCCAAAAGCACTTACAGTGTCCACATGAGCATCAGAACTGGACAATGGAGCAATAGATGAAGGTGGCCTGGTCTGATATATCACATTTTCTTTTACATCATGTGGATGGCCGGATGTGTGTGTCAGTTACCTGGGGAAGAGATGGCACCAGGATGCATTATGGGAAGAAGACAAGCCGGCGGAGGCAGTGTAATGCTTTGGGCAATGTTCTGCTGGGGAACCTTGGGTCCTGCCATTCATGTGGATGTTACTTTGACACATACCACCGACCTAAACATTGTTGCTGACCAAGTACATCCCTTCATGGAAACGGTATTTCCTGATGGCAGTGGCCTCTTTCAGCAGGATAATGCGCCCTGCCACACTGCAAAAATGGTTCATGAATGGTTTGAGGAACACAACAATGAGTTTGAGGCGTTGACTTGTCCTCCAAATTCTCCAGATCTCAATCCAATCGAGTATCTGTGGGATGTGCGGGAAAAACAAGTCCCATCCATGGAGGCCGCACCTCACAACTTACATGACTTCAAGGATCTGCTACTGACGGCTTGGTGCCAGATACCACAGCGTACCTTCAGAGGTCTAGTGGAGTCCATGCATGGACGGGTCAGGAAAAGGGGGACCTACTCAATATTAGGTGGGTGGTCATAGTGTTATGGGTGATCGGGGTATATTTTTAGTAGCGGCAGTTTTGATGAAGATCTGGTGTTAATAGAGGACCAAAAAAAAGCTGAATATGAAAAGTTCATTTTTGTCATATGAATGAGAAATTCTCTGGGGAATTTCTAAATTGCTCTTCGTGCTGTTTTTTTGCTTATCAGCAGATGCTGTTTAAATACAATGTTATGCATTTTTAAACAGTTTTATTTTATTGATGAGATAATTATGAATGAACCTATCCCGGGACACCATCTACTCTGATATTATTGTATTTATTATTGATATCTTGTATAACAAGTATATTTATGATAGTGAACTAAAGGAAACGGTTCTATTACCCAACTCCATGTTATGAAATACCGTATGTGTGGCCTCCTTCAGACCTCTGTGCCTCACCACAACGAGTAACAATGTGTTTCAGACCCTTTTCACATAACTGCACTGATAACTATACCGGGATCAACGACATACTATACATTAGGGATGCACTGATACCGATACTAGTATCGGTGCCGATGTCGAGTATTTGGGCGAGTACTCGTACTTGCCCAAATGCTCTGATGCCTAGCCCGATACTTGAGCTTCCGGTACACACTGCCCAGCTTCCTGATTGGCCGGGGAAGCCAGCTCCATGCTCCCTCGTCATTTGTGACGAGGGAGCGCGGAAGCCGACTTCCCGGACAATCAGGAAGCCGGGCGCTGTGTAATGACACACCCCCCGGATTTCTGGTTGGCCAGAAAGCCAGCTTCATTCTCCCTTGTCACCTGATGATGAGGGAGCACGTAACCGGCTACCTGGCCAATCAGGAAGCCGGTGCCGTGTAATGACATATTGCCCAGCTTCCTGATTGGCCAGCTTCTCGTGTAATTACACGC